GTATGATAGACAAACTTGGTGCACCAGGCTTTCCTCTTGCTCATGTTTGTCATTCGTTAGTACAACGAACTTGGGTCAATCCTTTGTGAAAAACGCTCTCGACAAGAGCCCGCGAGCGTGACAACGCAGTACACGCGCCGACATCCTAAACACGATGTCGTGGAGTCATCTCACGTCGGTAGGGAAAGGTTCGGGAGGTAGGCACCGGAACACAAGGACAACAGAAGTGGGCGGTTTTTGCCCGCACGCCAAGGAGATCCGTGGAACAGAGTTTGGAATACAAGGACAGCAGCTGTGGGCGGTGTTTGCCATCGAGCGCGTCAAGGAGATCCGGGAAAGCATTTGGAATACAAGGACAGCTGCTGTAGGCGGCTATTACCAGCACGCGTCAAGGAGATCCAGCTACAAGAAACAAAGCAGCAGTTGGAGATTCATCGTGCCGTGTTTTTTGCGGCGTGGTTTTGTGGAGGAAGATATGTTGAGGGAGGAGAAGGACGAAACGGAGAGAGGCGAGCAGAAGAATGATGCACCGGCAGGAGCAACGGCTGCGGGGGAAAAATTGCCGGGGCAGCTGGCTGAGCTGGGCCCGGTACACAACGGGTGAGCGATTACAGCAGCAGTCGCAAACTGCCCAAAATCCCGAAAGATTCGGCGAAGGCCGTGAGCTGGCTGAGGAGAATGCGGAGTTTCCTGGCTAGCGAGGGTTTGGAGTAGACGCTTGAAGATCCCTACCCCAATGACTATGTTCTTGTCATCAGCTGTTCGGATCGCACATATCTGAGCCGGATTCATGGTGCGGCGCTTGATACGGCACACAAGCGGGCATGGGGATTTCTGCTAGAAGCGATCTACGGCACAGATATTGAAGAGCGGTTAGCTGCCAGCGACTGTATCCGTGAGGCGTGGAGGGTGATCCACGAATGGCTTTCGCCCACTTTTGACGCTCGGAAGACATTGCTTGTGAGATAACTTGAGACCATAAAGATGTATCCCGGCGAGGACCCGAAGCTTTTCTTCGCCAGAGTAGATGGATTCGTCAACATCACGAGAGCTGTAAGCATTGCAAAGTCTGAGCGGATCGTGCACATTATTGTCCGCCAGCTTGCGCACGAATGTGATGTCGAACGCAAGTCCATCCTGGCCTACCTCACCATTGCACGAGTGAAAGTGGAAAACGTTGTTCGCACGGCATTCGCTAACACCGTCATGATCAAGGAATTGGGCAAAGTGAGAGGGCAGCAACGGCGGTGGCGGGGGCAGCGGCAGCAGCGGCAGTGGGTTCGTCCTCAACAACAACCCGCACACCACCAACCTCCTAACTTCCCGACGTGGGGATCTGGGGGGCTCTATGACTGTGGACGCAACGCCGTGTACCCGCAAGAGGAGTCAGCTCCGCCGCCAGGCGCTCCGATGGGTGCCGTTCATCAGTACGTGAGGTGCGGGAGGCATGGACACTCGGGGACTGCAATACGTCACGACGCTCGCAGGCGACTGCACTCCCTGGGTGAGCATGGCCATCGGCGCTGTAGGTGTTGCTCAACCGACCGCATCCAAGAGCACGTGCACGTCGGTGATGGAGAGGGTCTCAACGCGAGTGGCAAAGACACTTATGGTGTACCAGCAGCGGAAGCGACAACACTGGAGGAGGCAAAGGCATCAACCGGAGCCGCTCCTCCCCGTGTTTGCAGATGGAGCGGTGGCATGGGGCACAGCAACTGCGGCGGGAGCGGCGACCGATGGTGGTGGTTTCCTCGCTACGGGAGCGGGGGGAACATCCGGGGCGCAGGTATTTGCGGCTGGCCGCAGAGCCTTCCCCGCGGCGGCGGTGGGGGAGGCGGCCGGGGCGCGGGCATTCGTGGATGGAGCAGCGGCATCGGCGGTAGCACCGGCGGCGGGAGCGGCGACCCCCGGCGGCAGAATCTTCCCCGCGGCGGCGACGGGGGGAACGGCCGGGGCGCAGGCACTTGCTGCTGAAGTGACGGGGTCAGTGGTGGCACCGGCGGCGACACCAGCGGCTGTACGTTTCGAAAGCATGAGAGAAGAGGTTGCCGACATAGGAGGCAATGGAGGCAATTGGTGGCCAAGAAACCGGCGCTGCATGTGCAGCCGGGCCCACCACTTGCGTCGTCAGCAGGTGTGGCTTCAGTATCGGAACCATCGGTGACGACGGCGACAGGTAAGGGTGTTTTCCCTGATACACCGGTGGGGGGAACGGCCGGCGTGCTGTCAACCGCTGGAGCGGTGGCACTGGATGCGTCGTCGACCGGCGGCCCGGTAGTCTCCGCTGTATCAACTGGGGGGACGTCGCAGCGCCCACATCAGCAGCTACACCGGCACCAGCAGTGCAAGAGACGGAGGACGAGTCCTATGAGAATAGCTGCTGATTGAGCAATGGCGACGAAGGCGGCAACAGCAGCGGCGGCAGCGGCGACATGCATCCCGGCGCCCATCCGACCGTCTACAATGGTATCTGCGCGGTGCGGGACGATGGGGGGTAATGCCACGGGTGGACATTCAATCGTGGCAGGAAGTGTGCGGCATGAACTGAGAGGCTCGTGCTCGGGAGCTACCGTGCGGGATGACCGGTGGTTGTACGATGGGTCTACGCGCGATTCAGGCACGTTTGTGAGAAGTATAGTGTTTATTTGGCAATGTATAATCTTGGTTCGGTCCTGGTTTGTTTGTTGAAAACCATGAATTGAGAACTGCGTCGACGTAGACTGCTGTGTTGCCATGCGCACGAACGTGGTGTTTATGGTCTGTGGTAACATTGTGGTTTTCATTTGTTGAGGATAAGGTTTGAATACTCTAGAATTCCCCGCGGCGAAGAATTCCCCGCGCCGAATGGTGCAGTTGATATTGCTAGCACTTCTGCCGAAAATAATGGGGGGGGATGAATGTGATGCTGACGCCATGGTCCTCCCCGCAGAGTTCTAACAGGCTTCTGAGTTGTGTTGTTCATGTTGGTAACATACTCACCGTTTTAACCGTAGAAAATGAGGAGAAACACAGTTTCTTACTTGTTCGCGATTCCGTATTTCACTGCGGAGTTCGGAGGTAACTTCAAGACATTTGTTTGATTTCTCGTTGATAGGATTCGATAGTTTTTTCTTGCATTTTCTGCTGCTGTAGGACGGATTGAGTTCCATTGTCGGAGATATGTTGAAGGAGAGATGTCATTCGACATACATTTGTACGCTATTTCTTGCTATTAAGACGAAGTATTCGATGCGAAAGATGCTATGTTTTGGCAGACAACGCAGCAGATGAGGGGTTGTTAAGCTCTTATGTTTTGGGAGATAACGCAGCAGAGGGGCTGTAAAGCTTTTTGTTTGGGGAGATAATGCAGCAGGGCGGCTGTTAAGATTCTATGCTTTGGGAGATAATGCAGCAGGGGGGGGGGGGGGGACCCATAGTCGTGCATGCCGTAGTCGTTAGACCATTGACCTCGCGTCCCTACAAAGCCGGGACGGAGCATGCCGGGTTCTCACCGGACCAGGCTCTCACATCACCAAGCGCGAAGCGCCGTGAGGTATTCAGAGAGTCTCTTGGAGGGTGCGCTGCATCCTGCTAAGGGTGTTCGGCATCTTGTGCTTACTTCCTTGCCTACGGATGACAGCTGCGTATGACTTAATTTATTTTTTGGTGTTTCACATAATGCAGCAGGGGGGCTGTTATTTTCTATGATTGCACAAAGGGGGCTATTATTTAAGAAATCCATGTCTTGATGTTTGAGAAATGGAGTAATTGGTGAAAGTTTCCTCTGGCGCTTTGTGAGCGCCGGGTTTTTAACCTTTTGTCCATTATTGCCGTATTGGGTATTGTTGGTTGTATTGAACGATGTATTGGAGGAACGATTTGGCATATTTTGGTAAGACATGGTTGAGGCCTACGTGCTTCCGAAGCTTATTTGAAATTGGTCAATGAGCTGAAACATAGGTGTGTGCGAGGATTTTGGGAGTTGTTCGAAGTATCAGTTGCGTTTTGCCAGACAGAGGTGACCCTTTAGAGTCTTTATGGCGTGGCTCGATGCAATGTCGATCTTTGCTGAGTATTTTTCCAAGGATAATTCTTTGTTTTTGGCTGCTTGAGGACTTGATGACATTTTCTCGAGAGGCGTGATCACAGTGCTGGTCCGCTCGTGAGAAACACCTATTTCAGCCAAGGCTAAAATCTAATTGCCGCAGCCTATAGTGAGCTGAATTTCTTATGTCACAATTTCTTATTTTTTCCCGATGAGAATTGCACCATTTCATATTTTTTCGCCATGCAAATTGCACAATTTCAACGCCATTTCTGTCGACGCCGCCCGTTGTATGCGCGCTGAGGCCGTTGCTTACATCCTGCGGCCAACCTTGAATTCTATTTTTCTTGTGTCTTGGGAAGTCGAATTTGTGCTAGTCTATTTCTTATTATTCCGTTTCTTACCACTCTCCGTCAAATGAGCTCAATTTCTTAAGCCCTTTTTCTTCAATCTTCAAATTATGAGCCTCGATTTCTTGCGAAGGTCTTTCTTACGAGCGGACGGGCACTGTATTGAGACTCTTAGTGAAGCTCCATAGTTACAAGGAGGAGGAGTAACCTGAAACTTGAATATTTGAAAGATCCGGGAGTTGAGATGATTTGTGGATATAAAACATGAATGGTTATTAGATTTGTTGCCGTTTTACCATACGATATGTACGGAGGATCTCGTAGATCGTGTCTCGTACCTAGTAGGGTTGTGTACTCGGCAGGATACAGATCTCCGACATCTCCGACAGCGGGTACAGATGTGATAGGTATGGGTATGATTGACAGACTTGGTGCAGCAGGCTTAGCCTCTTGCTCATGTCTGTCACTCGTTAATACAAGGAACGTGAGTCAATCCTTCGTGAAAAACGCTCTCGACAAGGGCCCGCGAGCGTGATGACGCAGTACACGCGCCGACACCCTAAACAAGACTTTGTTGCGACTATGTACTTTGACAATGAGTAATTCGCCTCCGGCCGGCCAATTTTTCACAGCTGTTGCATAGACTCTTCCGCCTCACAACTACCCCCTTTTCGTCCTACACGGAGGCCATTATAGATCACCTCTCCAAGTCCCTCAGCAACCAGTAGCCCAGTAGGTCGTAACGGCCTCAAGGTCGATTCTCGGTTGAGTTGCACGTTTATCCCCCATTTCCGATCACTGAATATCCCCGTTGACTTTCTCCCAATCCCCCGAGACGTGGTCCTTCGCTCCTGATAGAGTGCCGGAGACGATTCGGGGGAGGGCAACCAGGAGTGCTCAGAAAAATTGTACTTTGTTGTAGAGTTGGTCGTATTTCACTACAGCTGGAGGTTGTAGCGTTGGTGGTATTCTCGCTACGGCTCCTTGTTGTGCGGAAGATATCTCCACGAGCCGTGCGCCGCCAAAGTGTACTCGCCACAATTGATCTCCTGTAGACCGAATACCACAAATGGTTTCGACACCTGAATCCCTTCGTACGGTCTCTGTACGGGGCAAGTCCATCTGTCGAGGTCGAGAACGACAGACCTCGTTCTTCGTTCGCAGGTTTGGGGGTCATCTGCTTCACGGTCGATCCCGGATGAAATGTCCAATGCCGTTTTTCTTCCAATTCAACCTTCTTGGCCGTGTCCATGCGGGATAACGCAAGCCATCGGCGTCTTCCTCGCCCTACCCCCTTCCCTGTTTCTCCCTTCTCCCACCTTTGCAGCTTGTAGCGCAAGAAGAGGGGGTCGGGCGACCCCAACTTCCATCGAGGATGCCGAAACCTCCAGTTGCTGGAGGGCTATGAGGGTGCGTATAGCCACCCGGAGTTTTCGTTTCGCGTTGAAGGTCCGCAACTTGGTCTGCAGGGTACACGCAAGAGGCAACGCCATCGTGCTAAGGCATAGAGTCATGATTGGTCAGTTTCGTGTCTTCAAGTGGGAGTCGTTTTCTTTGACGCTGGTAGTTCTATCAAGTGAGTCAATAGTTGCCTAGAAAACAACCAAGTCTTTGAATAGGCCTTCCATCGCCCCGCCCGCCCCCGTCCCTACATGAAACCTCCCCGGTATGCAAAAGAACATAGCAGTCGTCCTTCTGTGCAAGACATAAGTCGTCGTGGCTGACAGACCCCAAGGACAAAGGCCTACAGATCGCCCCTCCCTCTCCCGCCCGGTGATTCACCATTGCAGCCCCAAGCTCCTGTCCACCCTCCTCCGCCTCCTCGACGGCGTCAGTAAGCCAGGGATGCTGCAGGGCTTGCTCTGTCGTAAGCCGAGTGTCTGGGTCAACTCTAAGTAGATCCAACACAAAGTCCATCGCGTTCTGCGACACAGATCTCCAGCAAGCCTTTGGGTACGGCAGAGAAAACACATGATGGAGGAGAGTTTCCGGGGCAACGAACTCACCACTTGGAGAATATGGAGAACAGTCACGGATGTCGCCCTAGCAGTGTTGTGCACTACTCGAGCAATTGTAATGACCATGGAAGGGCCCAGGTAACCAGAGAGTGTGCCACACGACCACCGTGTGGTGCAGCTGTACACACCACATTTTTGTACGATATCATAGGAACATCCGCGCTGTGTGCACGAGAGCCTGCTTACGTCTTCAAAGCTGACCCGCCCCTTCTTGATGAGGCGAAATAGCTTCTCCGTCCTTGAGGAATTGAACGGAGGGAAGCCGCAGAGCAAGATATGTGTCACTACTCCGACACCCCAGCAGTCAACCTGTTTCGGCAACATGTGCGGGGGGAATGTCGTACGAGGACTTGCTTCTCGGTGAAAAGAACTGCTTTGCAGAGCATGATCGAGAGCGGGAACGATAGCAAGAGCGCGGAGTCAATATTTCGACCCAAACCGATGTAGAAAACACTGAAAGGCCGTTCTTATTCTCCTCATCGAACCTTGCAACTACAGCAGCTACAGCCCCAGCACTACTTGTTGGTGTAACGTTGTCTACACAAGCGCGCACTATGCAAGCTGAGCCAGTGCCGGAAACAGCTACGCTTCCACGTGTTTTCTTTTTGGCACACCTGCGTGCCGTGAGGCATCAGTCTAATGCTCTCCGGTGCCATGTAGCTGGGGCCGGCCATCCCGAAAGGAAAAGGCGTGCGATCGCGAAGGAGGGGTGCGGGAAGGGACAGCAGGGCGAGACTGATTCGAGAAAGGAAAACAATGAGAAGAAACAGCTAGAGCGCACGCAGGTACAATGGAGCCTAGCTGGCGTAAACTAGGTAGAGAAACTGCTGCGTGGAGAAAAGGGACTCTCTGCTACCAGCTATCTCCTCTGCGCTGCCAGATATGACCACGTTTGTGTTGGGTATGGAACAATATAGCAGCAGACGGATTTTTTTCGTTGCTCGGGAGTACATTTCGGAGTGTCAAAGCCACTACATAAATACTGGTTGACCCGGACAACTAGATACGACATTCCTCACGCAGCGTCCGTGAGAGCAACCTGTTGCTAGTGTTGTGGAAGCTGTTGTCTTCGCATTAACAACCGTCCAGCAGCACCCTTGCCCTCCGCGAACACATCCTATTCAGAGACTGGCCCAAGAAGAATTCCGCCAAAGTTTGGACGGGTACCAATCGTGTTGGGTATCGCGACTATCGTACTGTTGGGGGTGGCCAACAATATTGCATCCAACAGACTCGGCAGCCGTTTTTCGATGTCCCAACCAATCGCAAACCAACCGGGATTCAGGCTCCCAGTCAATACGACCATAGCAAGAGCGAAGACCAACAAAGCAAGAGCGAAGAAACATCTGGCCTTCCCGCCCACCTTGGAGTGCCACACGGAGTACCGGCAATAAGACCCCGCTCAACGCTTCGAGCCAATCCAAAATCAGTAAGCTGGCCGATAAATCGACCGACCGAGCCCAGAAGAAACGATGGGGGAGCACGCCGGGAAGAGAGGACGGACGGCGGGGCGGGGTCGATATTAGAGACAGGGTCCATGCAGGAAGCTTCAGGTGGAACTCGCATGAGTAACAACGTCCTCGAACATTGCGAAACGACGTGAGGAGCCTAAACGGTGAGTTGTATCAGACAGAGACACTAGTGGTCGGCAAGTTTCCCCATCTTTTCGATGGGTTCAGGCTTCTTCACAACCAGGGACTACTTGTAGTGGCACCGCCAACCGACCAGCCACTAGGTGATTTCTACCAAGATCCTTGTTCTCGTCTCCGGAATAGGATCAACCAGGGTAAAACAAAGCAACGGTAGACGGCTGTTTTCGGGTAAAATAAGATACCAGCATCTTCGTCTTGCATAGCCCCGAGGAGAAGATTCAGAATGGCATTGCAGCACCCCCACCCTAGTTATTAGGTACCATTGGATACGTGGAATATCTCGACGAGGTAGGCAGGGCCGCCGTACGGGTTATGTTGTAGTCAACCTATGCAGACTGAAATAGCTACAATTCTTCGAGAGCACAAAGTCGCAAGGGATAACAATTTATGCATTGTATAAGCAAAACGTTGTCGTGTGGTGAATCGGTTTAAAATCGCGTTATAAACATGTTTCGGCTGTCTTCGCGGGCCTGAGCGTGAAAATCTTCTGATCACCACGACCCTGTCGCGGGCTCTAGACTCGAAGCGCGAGTCGTGCAGCACCATATGAAGTACGTTCAAATCTCCGATTTCGCAACTGCATCTGGGCGAACTAATGCGGTGCTGTCAGTTTCTTAAGAACCGCGCCACGCATTGAACAAGATTTTAGCGGAGAACGTCGCGTCATTAATTTGACGGCAAATTGCATTAATTTGACGGCAAATTGTTTCGTCTATGCAGATGACATCGTGGTGCTGTTTGTGTTTGGGCGGCGATGGTGTTGTTATCTCTTTGGGCGGTGCTAGAGTAGTTGGTCATGTAGATGTAGATTCTACGCCACGTTCATGTTTTGCCTGTGGAAAGTGATCGCCTCGCTGGCTGGGAGTTTGGGCGTTCATGTGCCAACTGCACGATTCTTCACGCATACACACGTCCCAAATGCACGATGCAAAAATCGGCCTAGCATTTTCTACATGCATCTTCCTCGTGATCTACTTTTCGGCGGCGGCTACGGTAGTTTCTCTCCTGATGCCTTTGAGCGGGACACAGTCTCTCTGGAACTTGAGTATTGTCATGAGCAAACTACCAGATGCGCCCCACGGAACTCGTGTGCGGGTTTCTACGCTTGGGTGCTGCAGCTTCGCCCTGTAGACTATCGGATAAGCCTTGTTCGCATAGCGGGGAAGGGTTATTGCTTTTGATGTGATGCTCGCATGTACTGTGCATTTGCGGGCAGCAACTACCGTAAATGTTTCGTCATGCTCTGTCATTTGGGCGGCGAAATAGTCTCCGTAGAATCTGGGAACGTAAGTATTGGTCATGCTCTATTGTTTGGGCGATGGCATAGTCTCCCTGGAATCTGGAACTTTTTCGGTCCGCCATATTATTATTACTACAAGATGCAACACCCTGTGGACACACACCGGAAAAAATCGCGCACGAATACACAAAAAAATTGGAGAACTGCCGTAATAGTATCTGCAAATGAACGGCCGCACTCAGATTCATCTATGGCTGATTTTATCATTTGGTAGCGTTACGGAAATTACCCATGAAGTCCGTGCGTAGAAGAGGTCTTTTCTGAAAGGAGCCCATTGCAAAAATCGACCCGCTTGGCATGCGTGTGTACACGCACGTATTCAACCCAGCACTTTTCACCATCAAAAGCATCGAACGAATCACTTCAACGTCTTGAGAGCGACTGTTTCCTGCCTTGCCGTAAGGACGTAGACGTCGCGGCGCTCGAAGTCCGGAGCCCTTGTATGTGCTACATTCCTTATGGCAACGACCGAAACGCCAACCTCTACTTGTAGCACGACTTGAATCAATGTCCATCAACTCCAGCGCTGCCTTTCCACTCACTTTAACGGTGCGATCTTTGGCATCGAGGCTGGCAAACAAAATATTCTCCGGCTTGATGTCACGGTGCGCAATTTTCTGTGAGTGGCAATAGGCTAGCGCCTCAAGTAGGGACCGCATACAAGCCCGCGCGCTCTCCTCCGTGAACTTCCCTTCCGCTACAATCCGATCGAACAACTCGCCTCCCGGAACTTTCTCAAGGACCAGGAAAAAGGTCTGTGGTTCCTCATAGAAGTCAATAAACCTATGGCGAGCGCGGACAAAGAACCCCCGAATCAAGCACCGAGAGAGCGACAGGGAACAAAAAACGTCGTTGGAGAAGCACGGACAAAAAAATTGTTTGTGGCCACGACACCATGGTCTTCGCCCGTACGAAACTAGCACAGAGTGCTTGTAAAGCGTCTGAGGAAGGGCAATCATGTACCCCCATTCTCGAAGCATTTTCGCCTGTAGAGGCACTGTCTAGGCGCGCACGTGAGTTTTACAGAACTCATGACTCTTTGATCCAGCTCCTGCCGTCGTGCCCAACACGAAGAGTTCCTGTTGTACTATTTGCCCAGAGGCACAGTTCACCTTTGGCAATATCGTGCGCCTTGGGCAACATACTGTAGTGAAACTTTGGAAAATGGGACGCAAGCAAATTTGGTAGCGAAATACGATAGGAATGGACCGGTGCTGAAAAATATTTTGATGATGCCAGGCGACACGTTGGAATTATCTCTGCATTTCCGCACCACGCCTGTAAAATTGAATTATTTCCTACATAGCTTCTGCTTGATGCCATCTTTTGTTGAACGTTTTCCCATGAGATTCGTGGCGTTCATGTGATTACTTCGCTTTTCAAACTTGACGGTTTTCGCAGCTGAACGCCCCCGATAGTCACTCTTGACCGAGAGCCCCTTGTTGACGCCCTCGAAGCGTGTGCACATTCGGGCAATTCTGTGCGTTCAGACTGTCTCTCGGTGACATTCTAGCGACGGGAATGCCACGCAGACGTTCGCGAGCCCTCTACCGGTGATTCTGGCGAGCGAGCTGGGTGCTTGCTGTTATTTGACGCCCGGTTCTACGAGGCGCTACGGTTACAATCAGCTCGGTACAACTTCCCAACGAGAAGATTTGTGCTTCGTGCCAAATGGCTGGCAGCGTAATGAAAAAAACGTTTCAAAAAACTCGTACAGCGGCAGTTTCGCCTTAGTTTGTTCAAACGTGCACATATCTCCCTCCGGAGAGACTAGTCGTGGTCTCGTTTCGTCTACAGTAGACCAGTGTCCGCCGTTGAAGAAAAACCCAGAGCAATCAGGCGGAGCCTTGGGGTCACCTGCTATCGCCACGGTCCGTCGAGTACGAAAGAACCAAGTAGGGTACTAGTGCGTTTGCAATTACCTTACGACTTGATGGTGGTCAAGACGTCGAAGAGTATCCACCTCCTGTGCCAAGGCGTCCATATCTTTGACTGCATCCCGCGATATCACCTTCACAGCGAGTACCTCCCCATCTGGCTTGTGCGTACCTACAGGTGTCGTCAATCAACCAATCAGTGCAAATAGCCTTTTGTAAGGTACTGCAGATGCAGTCCATGGCTAAACTTAAAGCGTTTGGCCCATAGATGGGCAAAACCAAGGGTAACGAGATGCAGGAAAGCACGACACAATCTCCTCCTAATGCACGCACTTCTCAAACCACCACCAAGAGTGTGTCCGGGTGTAAGCGATCGGAAGCGATGAGGCGCCTCGCTCCTAGACACTCTCTGATCTGTTCCCAGTCCAAGCCACGACCTCCTCGTATGTGCAAAACAAGGCTCACCTTCTCGTACCACTCCAAAGCCCCCCATGCCCAGCACCTCACCCAACGTGTATCTATTCGTGAACGGTTGCCCGTACCCTCTTGGTCGATAACCCAACATCTTCAATATCTTTTCATGGGGCTTCCAGTAGACAAGTGGAGCCGCCGCATCTTCAGGGACGTCAGATGACTTCGCTCCTGAAGTTCGAGCTCCGTCGAACCCAAGGAACTTAGTTAGCTTTCTCGCAATAGAAACACGCTCCTGCGGTCTCGAGCCGTTGACTGATGATCGAGGTGGCGTGGGCCGGCTTGGAATAACTGCGACGCGCTCGGCATCTTGCTTGCCGCTTGTTGCATCCTTGACTTGTTGTGTATCTTCTCTCGGGAGAGAGGCCCCACCAGCAGGGCTTGGGCTGCTCTTGCTCCCACGAATCAATCCCACTATTCGCCTAGAAGCCTCTCGTGCATAATTGCCCCGGCTGGGAGCCGTGGCAGCGTCGAGAGCAAGGGCATTCGGAAACGCGTCGTTTGCTTCAGATCCGTAATCGGACGAGAGGCATGGCTCTCGTGGGGGCCCCCTCCCTGATGGTTGATGCACGTCAATTGCAGGCAGCGGAGTTTCAACAGGTGGCAGAGACACATCCATCGTTCATGGCCACGGCGAGAGCGGAACGTGTTTGCCAGTGTTGGGACGGCTGATGCGTACTACAGCAGCAACTCTTGGTTGGATGTAAAAGACGAAGAGGCGGCGCAACGTGTGCCGGTTCGACTTGAGCAAACCAGTGCTACAACTTTGATGTTGTCGTGTAGAGGACACAAGTCTAGTAGTAAATGGAGTGTAACGTCATTGCAACATCACTATCGGGAACCGGTGTCATGAGGAACATATGTCGCGTAACCCCCCCCCCCCGGAGAGCCTGGTCCGGTGAGAACCCGGCGTGCTCCGTCCCGGCTTTGTAGGGATGCGAGGTCAATGGTCTAACGACTACGGCATGCACGACCCCCCGGACTTTCGTGAGGGAGATTCCTACAGAGAGGCCGTAGATGTTACGCTTGAGAGTACGAGGGAGGGCCACGAAGTTAGGAAGTGCTTTTGGGCACGCCGATCGATGCGCTGACCAAAACACACCACTGCCTATAGACCTAAGATAGCTGGCCACGAAAATATTACCAGAACAAGCGCTCAGGACGCGGCGGGCTACCGCCCCCCCCCCGTCCTTCGTTCGCTCCACCGCTCTCCTTGTAAGGTGGACACGAACGTTAATAATGAGAGACGTCAAATGCATACCAAGTGGGACGCTACTTCCTGGTTGGAAAGATTCTTTTCTTCGATAGAGATGGATTCGTTGGGTCATATATTGATGAAAAAAAAATGAAAAAAGATGTGAATATCTGCCGCAGAAGACATGGATGAATGGAGCTGTAAAGTCACCAATAATAATTGATGTGATGATGAGTTTGACGCCCTCTTCTAAAAAAAACACGATGGAACAAAGAGTAAGCAAAGAATGGTATATGATTCTTCGTACGTACGTATTCGCACGGGCCAGAAAAAAAATCATTCCCTCGAAACCGTAGACATACAGGCACTTTCTGACGCTATGAATTCATTGCTAATCTGTCTCAGACTCTTTTCTATGATAGAGGAGATGGATTCGTTGTATCATATTAAGAAAAAAAAAAAATCTGAACACCACCACCATCTTGACAGCATTGATTGGTGATGGGTGGACAAAGCTTTTCACGCATAAGAGCACCCACAGATTCGTATAAATCGCTCTGCGCGTCGGAGATAGATGTGAGGATTGGTGTGGGTAGAAGAAACACATACATACATACACTCAGCAGCACTGGCTGGCAGGGTGCATGCAGGCTGGATGGAAGACACACCACGCAAAACATCAACCGCTCTACGCAACAAACCCCGACACGAAATACAAAAATTTTGATTCGGAGCGGAACACCGCGGTGTCTCGTCCAATCAGCGTCGTGAATCTTTATCGTGACGGAACAGCAGCACAGATAGACGCAGGTAGGTGCGAACGGCTCCGTCTTTGGCGGTGCGGGCAGCTCGCCGTGCACAGCGCACATTGAGCCCACAACGGCGGGATCTTGCGGAGAGAGGGCGTCCCGCGGGCTCCGCGAAGAGGGAGGCCGAACGGTGTCCGGCGGCGGGTTGGCCGCGCCCGTGAATTTTTCGTCTCGGTTTTAGAGTTGGGCTAATTCCCCCGCTGCGCTGTCAGGCGTCGAGTTTGAGCTTGAGTGAATAATAGATACCTCTATAATAGATACCTCTATATGTTTGTTCGATAATCACAGCTGCCGTATGAAGCACAGAGAGAGAGAGAGAGAGAGAGAGACAGAGAGAGACAGAGAGAGAGAGACAGAGCTTCAAGGGGGAGAAGGAGCGAGGCAAACGTGCTGGTCCTAAGAGATTTTCGGTTTTTTAGAGAGCAGTGAAGAGATGAACGTTCCCACACAAAGTACTTCAGGAGAGGATAAGATTTTCTGTGCTGTGTGAAAAAATACGCGAATTGAGTTGTTACGAAATTGGATACCAACAGCTGTGACAACCCGCATGCCTTGGACTGAGGGAACGCGTGTTTCCATGTCTTTGCACGTATCCAGAATGAATGCAAGAAAGACTGTTCGGGAAGAGAGATAAACAAGCAGCACGCCCTGCACAAATCGCTCCTTCCATCCCTCTATGCGCGCGCGAATGTACAAGAACAACGAATGTTTCCCCCGAAACGCGGCGTATGTACATACTGATGAAATAAAAAATAGTGTTTCCCTCGAAACGCGGCGAATAGTCTATCGCGGAGCACACGTACGTGTCGTTCCGACGAGAACGAAATCCACTACATTTTGCGCGCGCGTAACATAGTTAAATTGAAACCGTCGTTTTGCGGCGAAAAAGCTTTCGTGACCCTGTCGTTGGCAGGGTAATCGCGGGGAGGGAGGCAACTTACACACGCACGAACTGGTCGAGATCGGAGTTAATAATGTACCATGGATGCATGGTAGGATGTGTTCCGACGAAGAAAAGAGAGAGTCATCAATCATCAGTTGTCAAGTTATTGGTATTCGTGCAACATGCGGTGGAACATACTTTGCGGTGCGCAATGCGGTGGAACAAGAGGTTACCAATAGATAGTAGGAGAAACAGCTGTGACAAACCCGCATGTCTTGGACTGACTGATGGATCGCGTGTGTACCATGTCTTCGCACGCATCCAAAGTACGAGACTGTTCGGGAAGGAGAGAGATACACAAGCACGCCTGCTCAAATCGCTGCTGCTTCTATCCCTCTATGCGCGCGCGTATGTATGTACAACAACATTGTTTCCTCGACACGCGGCGAATAGTCTATCATCGCGGGGCACACGTTTCGAGATCAGGATAAACTACACTGTGCAATGGATTGGTGATGTATTTGTTCCGCAATATTTCGCGCGCGCGCGAAAATAAATTGAAACCGTCGTTTTGCGGGGAACATATTACTTCCTCGTCGGGAGGTTGCCGCAGTGTGGCCCGGACCTCTCGTTGGCAGGCAAACTTTGTAGGCACACAGCTATTCCAGCGTCGAAGCACTTGTCAATCCAGCTGTAGATTGGACGGGGCTTCAGTTCGGTGGAGGATAGGCAACGTTTAGGCACAACAAATCGATCGAGACCGGAGCAATTTGGTGTCGGCAGCACCTGCTGCATGCTCGTGTTTCGTGCTTGGCACCGACACAGCCAAACGTCAACAACGCAGAAGGCACCAATCAAGCTGAAACTTGCGGAGGGCTTCTAAAGAAGTGCAGGTCGGCCGATGGGGTGATTTCTCGCGTCTCGGGCGTTCGGCTCGAAACGTTCGTGGTTCAGGCTTTCGGACTGAAAGAGATCATTCATTCATCCTCCGTTCATTCATTCACCATTCACATTTTTTTAATTTACCGTTCTGTGAGACCTCTAGAGACCGTATCGGTCTCTTTAAAGGAACAAGTTTTGACAAGTATTTATCGGAAAGATATTGCAGAACGACAGCCAACCGATTGACTAGCGATGATATCACCAGTCAGCAGACTATTTATTTGCAACCTTAGCGTGGCGACAAAAGCGAGACGACAATAATTATGACCCACAGAGTATTTCTTCTATCGTTTCGTTCGCAATCAATGCAAACTTCAACGCAGGGCTCTCGTTGCCCCGCGCATCTTCTAGCCACAAACAGACCTCGTTAAACCCTATTCTTCGTACAAGTGTGTCAATACTATGTATGTATGTGTGGTAGTTATACTACGGCAAGAGCACTTGGTACGTTCCTCTCTCTTTCGAAGGAACCCTTCTTCTTGCGATTTTGCTGGTGGGGAAACCTTTTCTGGCTGACTCTATCTCACTCGTGAGTGAGTGGGACACACACTTCAAATCTGCACGGTCGACGAGGGAAAGGGGCGGCTTCATGCAGACATCCTCGCCATAAAACAAACTTGCGGCTGACCTCTTTTTTTTTTTGCTGCATGTTTTGGGCACAAGCGCCGCAGGAGTAAAGAAACGTGTCGGGTAAAGAATGAAGTTGCAACACAGGCCACAATATTTGCAACTAGACCTACTACTGTAATAATGTACATATATATGCAGGTTAACGACGTTTGTTTGTTTGTTTTCCGCTCGCTGTGCGATAGACGGCAGTAACGATAAATAGTAAATTGTCGAGACCGATATGATGACGCGGAGAAGACCAAAGAAAGAGAGACCGATGACAACAACAACAGCAGGGAGAGGGACTGGAACTCATCGTGGAACGAGGGACACATCACGACGATCAGCCCGAGTAAGAAGAGGAGCCCACCATCAAGAGAAGAAGAGTGCAAAATAAGTGCCTGGTACGTTAACTACCGTGTACACACGTGTCACACAGACTACTGTGGAGCAGATGTCCAGGAAGAGCACCCCCACTCCTCCGAGCCCAACTTCAGGCATACATACGCGTGAGATGCATCAGCGTACTATTCAGCCAATAATCAATCAGCAGCAGCAGCAGCAGGATGAGCCACCGAAGGGCCTTTTTCTTGTGAACGGTTACGAAAACTAGCCAACACACGCGGTAGGAACCCTCCTGTCTCTGACGTGCAATCGGCCGGCGGTGGCCTACTCGCGCCTAGATATTTATGTAGATGTGCCGGTGGGGTCGTGTGTGTTTCGCGTCTCGAAGATGCGTGCGATCAAAGTGTGTTTCTTAGGCCTTCGTGGGCCGGGAACAGCAGGGAATTCGAACACTGAAAAAAAAGGGGGCACTCAACATCAGCTGACACGAGCTAATTGCGCCGCTTCCCTGTATCTATCCAATTGCGCCGCTTCACTTTCTCTCCAACTCTCTCTCTCTCTCTCTCTCAGCTGACTGCAATTCCCTCATAAGCTCATCATTCCAACCATAAACCAAACCTTCCTCACCACTTCTAGTCTCCATCTCATACACTTTTCATGACCTTGTTTGACGATATCTCAACCAGAACTAATTCCAACCCTGCTCCCAGAGCCATCATTCGCAAGTCCATTCCATCACGCCTCAACATATATACTGCGATTAAACTACCCCAAGTCTTCTTTCACTGACCAAAACTAGGGTTGGCTTATATTGCACGACATCTCTTCTGCAGTCTGAATAATGATGATCAATTTTACGAGCACACGTGTTTTTCATGTGGATTGCCTCGCTCGCCTAAGATACCACACCCCCTGAACCAATTTTGTAAGCTCGGTTATGCTGCAGCAGCAGCAGCATAAAAAGAGCAGTGACGCAGTACCGACACTCGCGGTGTCGTAACCCTCTCGTTGAGAGCTCCCCAAATCGTGTCGTTCGATCTTGGCATGTCCTCTTCGTGGGGTAGTAAATAGGGGGCTTTGAAATTCGGTCCGGGGGTGCGTGGTATCTCATGCAAGAGAGACCTGTACTACTACTGCTGTACACCGTAAGTCTGCCACTCTCTCTCTCTCTCTATGTGCTGCTGTACAGCAGTAGTCAAGTGTTCTCATGGGATCGCTCAACTTGGCCGGTGGTGCCAGAGTGCCAAGCGTTATATTTTTTGTATAATTTGATACTATACTACTGCTGCATGTAGTATAGGTCAGGTGGTGTGAAAGATCCTTCTCTTCGTTGATTGAGCTCATTCGCCTGTCAATAGCATGCATCAGTAGCCCAGTGCCCATCAAGCACCAAACGAACGGCGAGCTACTTAATTGTACATAGCCAGCGAATCATGAATCAGGGATATTATAGACCCACAGGATCGCGGAAGGAAGAAGATGGCGGAACAAGTCTCATCGCGAGATGACGTGGCATATATTGTCGGCTCTTGGCGACTGCAGCACAAGTGGGCAAATCATTATGGCACGAAGGGTTGAGGGGTTGGTGCGCCGGCGAGTAGGGACCGCGAAAAATGCGAACCACGAGAAAGAAGAGCTTTCCCATCGATTCTGTTGGAGACTGCAAGAAGAGGAGTCCAACGGCAAGTGGGAGGACGGACGTAAGGGTGGCCACGAGAGAGGAGACGGAAAGGCCAACGCCGGCGGCCGTTTTGAGGCGGAGAATCGGAATAAAATTATACTATTTCCGAGGAGATCTACTACTGCTGTACGCATACCGCTGCATTCACCATTCTGTCACCAACACCATGCCATGACTGCAGCAGCAGCAACAGCGCTTTGGGAGGCCAAGCGTTAAGTCGAAGAGTACAGAGTGAATCCGAAAACCGTCGATGTAGTGGGATTAGTGGGGAGTTGGTGGAGGAGTGATGGGCACGTGTACTGATGGAGAGACAGACGCACAGATCAAGAAAGCTACTGCATGTGTTTAGCAGGTTTTACGCTCTGTTCGTGTTGCATCCGTACGACACTTGTTGTTGTCCATCGCAGCAGGAAATGAGAAGAAAATACAAAGGATTTGGTATCTACAACTGTATGATTCGAAGACCAGACCTACATGTAGAGTGAAGTCGAACACCAAATGACGAGTAGGCGGTAGCGAAAGTAGAGGACGTGGTAGACGAGTGGTAGGAGAAGGGTGTGCTCAGGTCGACTGATGAAAACGGAATAAATGCGAGCCGCGTGCGGCACCCAGTGCGGCACCGGCGAGTTTGTCGTGAAAAATCATCGTGAGTTTTTCTATCAAATAATGAAACTACAACCAAAGACTCTCCGCTATTTACTGCAGTCCAAAGTAGCAGTGAGTGAAGCCGAAGACTAACGAACTACGGGTCTGATAGACGGTAGCGAGAGTAGAGGGCGTGGCGGACGAGTGATGATCGGAGGAGGGCTGCCTGATCGGGATGACAAAGCGAGAGAGAAGATCTCTATCTTCTCGAGATGTCTATCTATGCATGTGTATGCACTGTATATCGGATTAGTTCCGAATTCCGAGAAGGTGTTTTTTTTTTTTTTGATACATGGATAGGAAAATAAAAATCTTGCCCGTTTACCGTTCACCGTTCACCTATTAGTATACAATGCAACTCTGGTGTGAAGACGTGATACACATACATCCCTTCGGCTGGAGTGCAGTATCTCCTACTGACTGTGCTCCCATCTTTTTCTTTTTTTTTTTCTTAGTATGACACCACGAAACCATCTCTATCATAGAAAAGAGTCTGAGACAGAGTAGCAATGGATTCATAGCGTCAGAAAAGTACCTGTATGTCTACGATTTCCCAGACAGCATATTATTTCTTAACATATGACCCAACGAATCCACGAATCCATCTCTATCTAAGAAAATAGTCCAAGTTAGATTAGCAAAGAACCCATAGCGTCAGCGGAAGCTACCTGTATTTCCACGATTTCCCGAGCAGCACGAAGCGATACCTCCCTCCATGGGTAACAGTGCACTGCTGTCATTGAGAGAACGAAAAACAACTACAAGTATTTGTAAGAGCGGCAACGCAACTAACGATAGTTCAAGGGCGAAAAGACTACGGGGTAATTGTTGTTGTCTATCCGGTTGGAACCGACGTCATTTCATTGGTCAATGCCGATATTTCGAAGTCCATGTGCGCATCCAATGTTCTACAATCACCGGCCGCAGCTGCCACGTACCATCCGTGCATCTGTGGGGGGAGGTGTTTGCCACAAGGCAACGTGCAGAACTTGTCGCGATGTTTTTTCTGTCGGACTTGCGCCTAGAGGATAAAAAAAGCGGAAACATCAGGAGGAGTGCAGTAGTGTATGCCTGCTGTATGTACTCTTTGGCTTCCCGGCATGCCAACGCTTCGGTAAATCTGGGCTGGCCGCGGGGGTTCCTACCAACGGCACAAGCGGCACACATGAGTTCTGAATACGAACGCGAAGACAGGTTAAACAAACGACGGGGGGTTCTGAGGGAAAGACGGGCAGGCCGAAAACTACTTACTGTTAGGCATCCATGTCCTGGTCTGAGAACTAGAGCGGGTGCGCCCAAGGGTACTATGGCACTGAAACTATAAAATCCCGAGCGCGGTGCACCTACCCTCGCGCCCAACATCTCTCATCTGAGGAATATATGCTGCATGAACATTCATAATCTGCAACAACTACCTTCACTCTTTCAGGTAGACGACGACCTGAAAACAAGCGTTACAAACAATTCGTGGACCACGCAGCAACATGCGGGTTTGTTGGCTCCTTGTGCTGGAAAGCCGGTCAGGGCCTACATCCCGACGCCGCACCACAAAAACGCGGTGCCTCGCCACGTCCCCGAGAGACGGGAGCAACCCACCCGCTACAATAGTCTCTACAAAACCTGTAACTCATCAGAACGAAGAAGAAAACAGGCCCCCTTGAGACTTGTCCGAACTATCGGGAGAGAAGGAGGAAAACAACAAGCGCCTCTTACTGCTCCTTTTTGTCGCCCCTCCGTCTACCGGCACCCCCCCTTTTCTTGCCCTGTGCCTGCGTCGCCCCTTTCGCCTCCTTTACGGCGCTCCTCTCCCGCGCGTTGTCCCTGTGGATCTTCCCCAGCTTCATCGGGGCGACGGCGACGCCGGCACGCACCATGACCGCCGGCCGTGTCATGGCGCGCACGCTCTGAGAGGTGTTCCACTCCCCGCCGATGGGCTGGCGCAAGCTCCGCTCGTACTGCTCTCGGGAGGTGAAGGGGTAAGGAACTTCGGACACCATGTACCTGTTGTTTGCGCAAGATCAAGAAGGCCGGGTGTATACCAGAGGGGGGGGCGGTAACGACGTCAATGACACAGCATCGGCGGGACACGACGGAAGATCAAGTAAGTGGTGGGTAGCTTTTTGGCGCGCGAAAATATCGCGAGCTTGCGGCACACGTAGCGGCAGTAAGGGTGGGAATTAAGTTCGTGAATGTGGCCCGGTTTTAAGGCGCCATAACGGCACCCTTGCGACGCCAGCAAGTTCTTGTGGGGAGGGGGGGAAGATCAAAAGAAATCCCAGACAGTAGTTATCTTGGCCGATTTCGCGGCAAAAAAAATTGCATGGAAAACATTTCTCGAGATCAGCAAGACCTACGCGCCGCACTGCGGAGTAAGAATGACACGCGTGATGACGGCCGGTCGCGCGTTGAAAACGCGCACCACACGAAGACGCCGCACAAGCACGAAAAATGCCAGCGCCTTGCTAACTACATGTTCTCACTTGGCTGATCGCTTCTGGCGCTTCTCGTTGAGCACAACCTTGGGCAGTCGATCGTCCTTGCGCGCCTTCTTGATGGCTTCCTCTTTCTTGACCTTTTGGGCCGAGGGATAGGTGTTCGCGGAAGGGGGGAGGGATAAGATAACAAATCAATGCATCCCTTCCATGCATGGATACAGAGGCGCGGGTACAACGCGATACGGAAGCGAACCGGCTCTTCTTTCTGCGCGTGATGCAACCTAAACAGACCTGAGCGTTCTTGGCCAGCACTTGGTGTTTGGTTGGCCCACGCGGCGCCGGCGCCCCATCCCCTGCCCACGCACCCCATCCCGCCAAGGTTCCCGGCAGCTTCTCCCGCCCCTTCGCGAGCTCTCCCTCGATCTCATCGTCCTTGCTGTCCTTGAACTCAGACTCGAAGTCCGGGGCGGCGAAGGCCCGACGAACGAGCTCATCGTTCGAGAGGCCGGCGAGCTTCGGCGTTGCGGTGTAACCTTCCCCACTCTTCTTTACCCCGCTCTTGCCGCTAGGTTCCGAGGCGGTCTTTGCCTTCTTGTTGCCGCCGCCAGCGGCCTTCTCGGTGGCCGCCCGGGCCTTGGCGCCCTCTCCGTTGGTACCGGCACCGCTAGCGCCTTCGCGCCCGCTAGCGTCGCCGGCACCGCCACCGCCGCCCCTCTTCCTCCTCTTCCTCTTCTTTCGACCGCCACCCTGCTCTTGCTCCGCCTGCTCGTTCGGAGGTGAATTGTTCTTGTTTTTCTTGTTATTGTTATTTTTCCCCGACGACAGGGGCCCCGCCGAATCATTTCCCGCGTCCTCGGCATCGCCTCCCCCCTCGCGTTCAACGTCGTCGTCCGTAGCGTCGCCACTTGCACTCGGCCCCTCCTTGCCGCCAGCAGAACCGCCGCCAAACGCCGACAGAGCCGTCGCCGCCGCCTTCCGCACGTCCAGCAAAACCTCGCCGTTGGGTACGCGGCGCCTGCTCTTGCTCCGTCGAGGGGTAGGCGCAAGCCAAGGGTTGCTCTCGTCATCCTGTTGGTCATCATTCTCCTCCTCCACCTCCTCTTGACCCCTGTCCGCGCCGCCCCCATCCTCCCCCGCTTTTCGCCGTTTCTTGGAACGTTCCTGTTCCCCCCCTTTTCCTCCACCGCCGGTGCTCTTCTTGTTCGACATATTGAGCGTTTCTACCTTGTCCTCCGCCGAAGACAACACGGGGCCGCTCCCGTCCCCTAGGTCGATCGTGATTGGCGAGGCCACGCTGGACCTGACCCGCGCATCCATGCTCACGGCAGAAGACTGCAGGGCACCGGCGGGGAGAGCCTTCGCCACCTCCGCCGTCGCCTTGGCCCTGGTCTCCTTCGAGGCCACCCCGGCATCCTCGGTCTTTCCAGCGGCGCCCCCTGCCTTACCCGCGCGCTTCTTGCTTCGCTTGTTGCGCCGCACCGTCTCGTCGTCATCGGAACCATCAGCGTCGGCGTCGGCGTCGGCGTCGGCGTCGGCGTCGGCGGCTTCCTCGAGCTCCCTCAGCACCACCGAGGCCTCTTCTCTGGCCCGTTCCCGCTGCTTGTCCATGGCTTTCTGCATGAAGGCCATCTTCATCAGCGCCGCTCCCTGGGGGAGGAAAGGGAGAAAGTTTCGGGGAACAGTCGCGGGTGGGATTTGGTGGGGGGGGGGGGGGGGGGGGGG